ATCTTATATATATCTTATAGTACCTGCAACAGTTTCTTTAAAAATCAAGGAAAAATTTGCTTTGTGTATGCACAGTACGTTTAAAATGTATCTATTTTTAATTTCTGCTTATACAGAATTGCTAAAATTGAGTAAACAAATATAGGTTTCATAATACAAAAATATAATTATTTTAAGATGGACTGATTTCATCGTTAGGAATGGAAGTACTTCTACTGAGTGTTTATCAGAATGATGTTTCAGTCAGTAATCTAAATACCTCTAAATACATCTAACAGTTACTCTTTGGTGATACAAATTTTGCAGAAGTTGCTAATATTTTTCCTTTAATTCCAGATAATTTAATTATACATTATTTATTAGGCATTGGTAAGCAAATATTCACCAAAAATGTACAGTTATTTCTCAAGTTTCTACTACACCCATGCTTATTGTCCCTACTGCATCTTAATGAATATCCTTTTTTGCCTCGGCTTATTGAAATTTATTTGTGTGGACTGGCAAAAAAAATCTATTTAAATAATAAGTAGACTGGTTAGGATATCATGATGATGATGATGATGGTTAGGATATAATGGGAACCTCAACATAAGATGTGACAAAAGATTAAAAGCAAAAAAAAAATTGTTTTACTGCGATACCTGATTTTTGAGTATTTACTTCAATTACAGATATTTACTTTCAATACAGATTACAGACCTATAATTTTTTCACACAAAGAGGTCACAGCAATGATGAAAACTTTCAAGAGAATTAAAGAAGATCTACAAATGTATTCAGTTCCTATTTAAGTAGTAACACTAATCTTAGTACATTTAACTCTCTTCAGACTGGTACTTCACCTCAAAGACTCTCAAAAAACCCTTCACATACAGCAAAACTTTTGTGCAGTTTTCAGCACAGACACCTTTCTGTGTCTAAGTGCTTGGAAGGATTCCTGCCAGCTTAGCAACAAAATGAAGTGTTCCAGCTCCACTGTGTACCTGGACAACATGAGCAAGGGATCTAAGATTAGCTATCAACAGTTTAGCTCCATTCCACTCATCGCCAATACTTATTTTGAATTATATTCTAAATATCAAGACAAGCAGTGGGGCATTGACCTAACAGAAGACAACAGGAAGGTGCACAAGCAATGGTATTGCCAAGAAGAGACAAAACACGGTATTTAATTCACTTATTCACCTTAAAACTTCATGGTTCTGCACACTGAAATTATATGACTGCTTCATATATGCTCAACAGAGCTCAAATGGAATAATCAGGCTAACATCACTTTTAATTAGATTTCTGCTTAAGGATTGACCTTGTAAGGATGGAGAATGAAGACTACATATTCTTCAGCTTCTTTTATAAGATTTTTTTTTCTAAATATTCCCCCAACACTGAGAATGAAAAACTAATTTATCAGTATATAAAGCCACATCCAACAACATTGCCACACATTAGCTTGTTGTCAGGGGACAGTAAAAAAATATTTGCTTCAAATATACCCCAAAAGTTTCAAAAATTAATAAAGAATATTTCAATAATAATGGAGAAGTATTTTATGCAACAACAGACAGCGAGGACATTCATCAGCTCCTAAACTGACCTCTCAAATGGCAGAATCAGCTCTTTTCTACACAAACAGGAAAATATCTTCTTTCTGCATTATGCAAAAACAGTAAGTCTCAGAAACAGAAGGCCAAGATCATGCCTTCATCACATACTGCAGTCAGGTTTAATTTCACATTTTTTTTCAGGATTTACCCTCTCCTTTGACTCCTACATATCCAGTTATATCCATAGGAATTCTCTTTTTCCACAGGAAGATGTTCACAGCAGAAATAGTTTGCAAAGCCTAGCCATGATCATGATGATGATGATGAGTTCCAACAGCTTAATATTTCCAGCATCCTTATCAGACATGACCAGCCCCATAGCCCAGACTAGCAGACTGGAAAACATCTATGCACCTTTGTTGGTACAGCAGCATCACTCAGTTGTATGACAAACTTCCAGTGAAAGTCAATTTAAAGCTGAGCCTGTGTTGAGGTTGAGGCACCAGATATGGTAGATGTGGGAACAACACTGTTACATATGTGGCATTTTCCTTATCAAGCGGTCAGATCATCTCTAACAGCTTTAACTGGAGAAGGATGAATATAACAATCCACTTCATCTTAGTCTGAATCAACTGAGAATTCGCTTAACAAAAGAATCTTTCTTCCTGAACTTTCATCACTTCTCTGACACATTTTTAGCACCATGAAGTGAGGAAAGTCTGTCCCAGCCAGGTGAACCCATTTATCCATCACTTTTTTCATGAAAGTAGTTAATTGCAACTTTCAAATTGGGGAACTCAGGAGTAAAACACTCCAAGAAACACACACAATGCACAAAGCTCCCAGGGGCACTGAGATGCCAGAATGTTCTTCCAGAAGTCTAAGGAGAACCTGTACACTGTTGATGTGGGAGACATCAGATATCAAACTTCTCAGACCTCTGTCTGTCCACTTTTCACTGTACCAGCATTTACTGGTCATGTCAAACCACTTGTCTCAGCATCCTTTCAGAGTTAGATGATGAAAGCTCCAAGGTGCAGAGACTCACCACACTGAAACAAGCAATAACAGACCCATCTCTGACTGCACTTACACACAGTCAACACATTATTGGAGAAGTCTTTTCTCCAAGTGAATGATCATTTGAGGATTTTGGTGCATAACTTCATAAGAGCACAGATTCTATTACCCAAAACAGCCACAGGACTGTTGACAGCTATTATGGTGTTAACACTGCAAAAAACTATACTTGAAAAATTTTACTTTCATGGGCATCAAATTCAAACACACCACGGTCGGCTTTGCAGCACCAGACTTTTCGAATGCTATGCTGCACATCGGAGCAGTCTGCCCAATGGCAAATTACTGCCTTCACAATGTCAATACACTTTTCAGACAACAAACCCCTGAAGCTGTTTGTACCTAAGATTTGTCACAGCTGGTGATGATGGCTTACTTCTGTATAAGACTGCAAATATCCCAAAAGCTCTGTGAACTACTGAACACTGTGAAGATGCATGGAAACACAAGTCACTTGAGTGCACATCAAATCATGAAAACACTCTGTTGTATATAACAAATTGCAAATTAGTGTTAAACTCAGCCAATCAATTAATTACAAAAGAAAGAAAAGAAAAAAACATGGGTTAATCATCCACATATTTGCCTTAACTACTGAAAATATTATTCTGAAGTATTCTTGCAATTCATCTGCTATGTAGAGTTGTGATGGGATCCATTAAGAAAAGTCTTGGAGAAAATAATGGAATACTCATAATTTCTCATAGGAGATACAAACCTTTAGAAGCCCATGAACCCACCCCCACTGTCTAACTTCTCAGAATGTTACACTGCATGAAGTGTACTAATTTCTTTATTCCATTTCACTAGTTGTTTCTTCCAGTCTTCTGAACTTTAGTGGTGCTGATCAGACCAAGGAATGTGCTAACACTCCATAGCCAGGTGACTTCTGTGTATAGAATCATAAAGGTTGGAAAAGACCTCCATGATCATCAAGTCCAACCTTGAACAAATAAAATCACACTTACTAAACTATACCGCAAAAAGCCATGTCTACATGTTTTCTGAACACTTCCAGGGAAGGTGACTCCATCTTAAATAGCAGTACAGATTCAGTGCCTCTATCAGAATATGGATATGCCATTTTTGACACTGAAATAGATGAACTACGCAAGGAGCAGGTAATTATATGTGACAGCTATTCCCACTGACACTGATAACCCAAAGTTTCCACTGCAGTAGGAAACTATTACATTAAACACTATATTACTTGTTCATTTATTATATTTATTTATTTACATTATTTAATAAATATGTTAATGTTATAATTTATACATTCTATTTACGTATTCTTGTCATTATATACATTGTATGTTATATTACTATACATGAAATTAATTATATGCATTACAGGTAGAATTATTACATAAAAGTTATACTTGTATAATATTATAGAAAAATATTCTATTTATTTAAATATAAAATATAGATTTATTATATCCTATCTATATATGAACTATATAATTTATACCCTAAAGAACAAAGTGCAAATTACACTGGATAAAGAAACTAAAATAAACGTTTTATCAGGCTAAATTATTGCATTCTACAGCTTATTTTCCCGTGGATTTCACAAGACAAAACATGCAGGCAGCTAACAGGTCTATGACATTTATTATTCCCTAAAAAAACGAAACCATTACAGAAGATGGGCGATGCCCACTGGTATCACCAGCAAACTACAGTAAACAGCACGTAGGTAGAAAGGAATCTCCACCTCCAAGAGATCTGAAGAGGGAATAAGTTTCGTTTCGTTTCGCGAAAAGAAGGGAAACAAAACTGAAAGGACACGCGACAAAGCAATGGACCAGCCAGAAAAAGTATTTAAAGGGCAGTCACCGCTGGGGGCTTCGGAGAGACAGTCACTGCGCTATGGACGGGAAACGATCGGCGTTTACCGCCAACACCTTGGACAGCACAAAGAGAATCGCAGACTCAAGTAGGTCGGAAAAGACCTCTGAGATCACCGAGTCCCACCAGGGGCCGAGGAACACCATCCCTCCTGCCAGCACCCTCCGAGGCGCAGCACCGCGCCCGCCGCCGCCGCTGCCCGCGCGGGGGCGCTCGGGGCCCGCCCGCCGCTTTCCCGCGGCTTTCTCGCCCGCCGCCAGGGGCTGCTCCCCGCGCGCCTCCCGCCGCCGCCCCGCACTGCCGTCCCGCTCCCTGCGGGAGAGGGGACACCGAGGGGGCAGCCGCGGGCTCTCCCCCACGCCCGCCCACCTGTGCCGGCAACAAATTTGGCGGTGAGGCGGAGGGCGCGGCGGCCCCCCGGCAGGCGGCGGAGGCTGCGACGCCCCCGGCCGCCCCACGGTCCCCGGCGCCGCCGGGAGCCTCGACGCCGCCGTGCCCGCCATCGCCCGCCCCGCCGCGTACCTGGCACACGGCGCTGCGGAAGGCGCGGTAGTTGTCCTTGCCGTAGCTGAGCACTTTCTCGTCCGGGTCCGCCTGCTCCCGGCGCCGGTCGAAGAGGAACACGGTGCGGTCCCCGTTGCCGCGAGGGGTCAGCAGCGCCGGCCTGCGCGGTGAGCGGCCGCCTCCCGCTGCCGCTGCCATGTTGGGGAGCCGAGCGGACGGAAACCGTCCCGCTGCGATGGCGGCGCCAGCGGCACTCACTGCCGCGCCCGCGAGCGCCCCCACCTGGCGCAGCGCAACCCGGCCGGGGAAGGAGGAGGCGGAGCCAGGCGGGAGGCCCGGGTAGGAGTCGCTGCGGAGGCCCGGAAAGGGAGGGAAACGGAGGGAAGGCGGCGGTGACGGTGCTGCCCGCGGTTCGGGGTGGGGCCAGACAGGAGGGAGGGGCCTGGAACCGAAAGCGCCGTTTTGGCTCCGCGACCTCGGAAGGATTTGGTGCCCTCTGCCGCGCCACTTCCGTTGCCGCCGCCGGGCGGGGCGGGAGCGGGGAGGGGTTCGGCGCTGCTCCGCCCGGCGCGGCCGCGGGAGGCGCAGGCGGGTCGGACGCTGGGACCGCGTGCCGCGACCGACCCGGCGCGCGGGGCCCCCGGAGCCCTCCTGTCACCGGACGGGCACGTCCCCGCCGCGCCCCGGGAGGCGGCTGTGCCGGGGAGAGGCTGGATCTTGCTGTGAGTGCGGCAGTTTGGCTTCAGCCCGGAGGCGTGAAGTCCCGCTTCGTGTGCCTTAAACTAAATCCAGATCCCAACGCTGTTGTTTCACAGAATCGGTGAGGTCGGAAGGGATCACAGTGGGTCATCTGGTCCAACCTCCCTGCTCAATCCTGGTCATCCCAGAGCACAAGGCACAGGATTCCATCCAGACAGTTCTGGAATACCTCAGTGAGGGAGACTCCACAACCTCTCTGGGCAGCCTGGTCCAATGCTTGGTCATCCACACAGTAAAGAAGTTCTTCCTCACATTCAGGTGGACATTCCTGTGAATAAGTTTCTACCTGTTACCTCTTGTCCTATTGCTTGGCACCACTGAGAAGAGCCTGGCTCCGTCTTCTGGATATTTCGCTTCAGATATTTCCATACATTGATAAGGTCCCCTCTCAGTCAGCTCTCTTCAAGACTGAACAGGGCCAGCTCCCTCAGCCTTTCCTTGGAAGAGAGATGCTCCAGTCCACTAACCATCCTTGTAACCCTGTGCTGGACCTGCTCCAGGAGCTCCATGTCCTTTTTGTACCAAGGATCCCAGAACTGGACACAGCACTCCAGATATGACCTCACCAGCGCTGAGCAGAGGGGCAGGATCACCTCCCTCAACCTACTGGCAATGCTATTCCTAACGCACCCCAGGATTCTGTTGACCTTGGCCACAAGTGCACACTGCTGGATCATGGACAGCTTGTCTACCGGGATCCCCAGGTCCTTCTCCACAGAGCTGATTTCCGGGAGGTCAGACCCCAGCCTGTACTGGTGCCTGTGGTTCTTCTTCCCCAGATGCAGGAGCCTGCAGTTGCCTTTGTAGAATTTCAGAAGATTCTCTGCCCATCTCTCCAACCTGTCAAGGTCCCTCCAAAGGGCTGCACAGCACTCTGGGGTATTGGCCACTTCTCCCTGTTTTGTACCATCAGCAAACTCACTGAGTAGGCACTCCATGCCCTCAGGCAAGTCACTGATGAATAAGTCAAACAAAATTAGTCCCAGTATTGAACCTTGGGGGACACCACTAGTGACAGGCCTCTAACTAGATCCTGTGCCACCAATTATGACCCTCTGAGATCTGCCACTTACCCAGTTCACAATCCACCCCACTGTCCACTCATCCAACCCACACTTCTTGACTTTGCCTATGAGGATGTTGTGAGATAGTGTCAAAAGCCTTGCTGATGTCAAGGCTCTCCCCTTATCCATCCAGGTAGTCGTTTCATTGTAAAAGGCCATCAGGTTGGTGAAACGTGACTTAGGTTTAGTGAACTCTCGTTGACTACTCCATGTCACCTTGTCTTTCATGTGGGCAGGGATGGCCTCCAGAATAGGGTGCTCCATCACCTTTCCAGGGATTGAGGTGAGGCTGACTGGCTGCTAGTTCCCTGGATCCTCCTCCTTGCTGTTTTGAAGACCAGGGTGACATCTGCTTTCTTCCAGTTCTCAGGCACCTCTCCTGATCTCCATGACCTTTCAAAGATGATCATGAGTGGCCTGGCTATGATGTCCATCAGCACTCTCGGCATTTCTGGATGCATCCTGTCAAGGCCTGTGGACTTGTGGGTGTTGAATTTGTTTAGGTGTTTGCGGCAAAAGTCCCTCACTCAGCACCCTTTTTGGTGAATGAATCCATGGGAGACAGATTTTGTCCAGGCAGAACTCTCTTGTAACTTTATTACTCCATTTATGTACAGAATAATGGTCCGAGCTATCAAGCCAGGCCAGATTTTACCTATCTGCACACATTCCACACAGACGCTCCTGTGGCTGCCTTCCACCACAAAGAATAATCATACTTCAAGCAGCTTTCCAGTTCAATTCTTTTCAGGTCAAAGTGTACCCTGGGAAACAACCCTTGAAAACAAAGGGGTCCAGGAGGGATGGACATGCTTCAAGAAGGAAGTCTTAAAAGCACAGGAGCAGGCTGTCCCAGTGTGCCAAAAGGCAAGCTGGTGGGGAAGACGACCAGTCTGGCTGAACAGGGAGATTTTGAAGGAAATTACGGTAAAAAAGAGAGCCTACCAATTATGGAAAAAAGGGCTGGCTACTTGGGAAGAGTTTAGGAATACAGTTAGGTCATGTAGAAAGAAAATTAGAGAGACGAAGGCACAACTTGAGCTCAATCTATTCACTTCTGTTAGGGATAACGAAAAGTCTTTCTACAGATACATCAATAGCAAAAGGAGGGGCAAGGAAAACCTCCAGTCTTTATTGGACATGGGCAGGAATATAATTATCAAAGATCAGGAAAAGGCTGAGCTATTTAACACCTTCTTTACCTCAGTTTTCAACAGTAAGACAGGTTGTCCTGAGGACAGCTGGCTTCTGGAGCTTGTAGACAGAGATAAGAAGCTGAATAGCCCCTGAATAATCCAGGAAGAAACAGTCTGCGACACGCTGAACCACTTGGATCCCTACAAGTCTATGGGACCAGATGGGATCCACCCAAGGGTGATGAGGAAGCTGTCAGAAGAGCTCGCCAAGCCCCTCTCCATCATCTACCAACAGTCCTGGCTCACTGGGGAGGTCCCAGATGATTGGAAGTTGGCGAATGTCACGCCCATCCACAAAAAGGGCTGGAAGGAGGACCGGGGAAACTACAGGCCCGTCAACCTGACCTCAGTGCCTTGCAAGGTTATAGAGCAGATCATCCTAAGTGCAATCACATGACACCTACAGGATGGACAAGGGATCGGATCCAACCAGCACAGGTTTAGGAAGGGCAGGTCCTGTCTGACCAACCTGATTTCCTTTTATGATCAGGTGACCCGCCTGGTAGATGAGGGGAAGGCTGTGGATGTGGTCTATCTGGACTTCAGCAAAGTCTTTGACACCGTCTCCCACAGCATACTCCTGAAAAAGCTGGCAGCCCACGGCTTGGACAGGGGCACTCTGTGCTGGGTTAGGAACTGGCTGGAGGGCCGGGCCCAGAGAGTGGTGGTGAACGGTGCTGCATCCAGTTGGCGGCTGGTCACTAGTGGTGTCCCCCAGGGATCAGTGTTGGGCCCAGAAAAGGTCTGTGGCAGATTTTGGAATGTTTAGGTTGTCCCCCCAAGTTCCTTAAAATGATCATCTCACTCCATGAGGATCAGCACGACCAAGTCAGATATGGCAACACACTTTCTGAGCCCTTTTTAATTAAGAATGGTGTGAAACAAGGCTGCGTTCTCGCTCCTACCCTATTCACCGTCTTCTTTAGCATGATGCTCCAAAGGGCCACAGCAGACCTCGATGATCAGGATGGTATCTACATTTGATACCGTACTGATGGAAGTCTATTCAATCTAAGGCGTCTGAAGGCCCACACCAAGACCTTAAACCATCTTGTCCAGGAGCTGCTTTATGCTGATGACGCCGCCCTTGTCACCCACACAGAAGCAGCCCTGCAGCATTTAACATCCTGCTTTGCAGATGCTGCTGAGCTCTTTGAGCTGGAAGTCAGCTTAAAGAAGACAGAGGTCCTCCATCAACCTGCACCTCAGGAAGTCCCCCATCATCCCCACATCACCATTGGCGAATCAGAGCTCAAATCAGTCCAACAGTTTAATTACCTCAGTAGCCTCATCTCCTCAGATGGTAAGATCAACGGAGAGATAGACAACAGATTAGCAAAGGCATATAGTGCCTTTGGAAAACTCCACAAAAGAGTATGGCGTAATAAACACTTGAAGAAAAGCACCAAGATCAGTGTTTACAAAGCCATAGTGTTGTCGACTCTCTTATATGGCTCCGAATCATGGGTCATCTACCGCCACCACCTGCGTCTCCTAGAACGCTTCCATCAACGCTGCCTCCGTACAATCCTAAACATCCACTGGTCAGACTATGTGACCAACACATCTGTTCTAGAGCAAGCAGCTATCACAAGTATTGAGGCCATGTTGATGAGAACACAGCTGCGTTGGGCAGGGCACGTCTCCAGGATGAAGGACCACCGCCTCCCTAAGATCTTGCTTTATGGTGAACTTGCCACTGGCTGCCGCAAGAGAGGAGCCCCGAAGAAAAGATACAAGGACTCCCTGAAACAACATCTCAGCCTTGGCCATATTGATCTCCATAACTGGTCTACTCTGGCCTCAAATCGGGAGGCCTGGAGACACACCATCTATAACGCAGCTGTCTCCTTTGAGAACACACGCAGGATCACCCTCGAGGAAAAAAGGCAACGCAGAAAGAATCGTGTATTGCAGAATACACCATCTAAGGAGTCTTTCTGCTGTGCCTTTTGCAATCGGATTTGTCTGTCACGTATTGGCCTCATAAGCCATCAGCGTGCCTGTAGCAAATGTGGATAGAGCCTTCCCAAATCTTCGTTCGCAAAGCCTAGCCATGATGATGAGACAATGTCCAGTGAGCTGGCCAGTCCTTTTCTGCAATTATGGTAGCGTCCGCTCCCATGTCAGCAAGACCTGTGATAGTGGTAGTTTGACGTGCTTCTAAAGAGAAAACAGTACACGTTAGCGTAGGTCTTTGTTTATTGATGTTTTGGGTCCAATTTATTTCTATTGTCTCACTGTTGGAGGCTAAAGACAACTGTGACATAGTAGTTGAGCAATTGGTTCATGATCATAAATAACAACGGGAGGAAAGATCACATGCACCTTAATGACTACCTTATGAGGATCTAGGTTTTTAATTATTTGAGGAATGATGACAATTCTTCTAATTGATGCTTACATGGTATTAGTCAATAAATAGGTTTCATCTCTTGAAATGTCTTCAGAAGGTAGAACTGGAAGTAAATAGAA